TTTCGGGCTCTATGGCCATATTCCAGAAGCATTCTCTCCTGACGTTTCGCCTGCATCTAGGACAAGCATCCTCAGACGTTGTGAGGTCTGGTGGAAACTAGGCAAGTGGGATTTATATATCCCAAGGGGGTGGGAGAAAGAACTCTTGTCTGCATCCACAAAAGAATCCCCATTGCACCCGGGGTTGAATGGAGAAATCAGCTATTCAAACTCTGCAGTAATTAGGTTGCTGTGAGTTTTCTGGGCTGTATAGCCATGTTCCAGAAGCATTATCTCTTGACGTTTTGCCCTCATCAATAGGTATTCTCTAGGTCAGAGGTCCTCAAACATTTTAAACAGAGGGCCAGGTCACAGTCCCGTAAACTGTTGGAGGGCCAGATTATAATTTGAAAAAAAAAAACATGAATGAATTCCTATGCACGCTGCACAGATCTTATTCATAGTGCAAAACACTTTAAAACAATACAATAATTAAAATGAAGAACAAATATACATTTATTAATATTTCAATGGGAAGTGTGGGCCTGTTTTTGGTTGATGAGATAGGATTGTTGTTGATGTTATTGTTGTGTGCTTTCAAGTCATTTCAGACTTAGGTTGACCCTGAGCGAGGGCCGGGTAAATTACCTTGGAGGGCCATATCCGGCCCTCGGGCCGTAGTTTGAGAACCCCTGCTCTAGGTAAAGCTAGGTAAAGGTTTTCCCCTGACATTAAGTGTGGGGTGTGGTGCTCATCTCCATTTCTAAGCCGAAGAGCCGGCGCGGCGTTGTCCGTAGGTCATGTGGCCGGCATGACTGCATAGAGAATACTGTTAGGTATTCTCTAGTCAAGACCAATTACAATTGGATCCAGAGCACTGGATTTCACAGTCCTCGGATCCTTCCTCTCGGCTGGAAACTTGAAGCACCAAACTCTGATGTTCAAATGGTAAATAAAGCTCGGGCAGGCAGGGAAAAAGCCAAAGTAACCCTCAAAGTGTTTATTCCAATGCGAGCTCAGTGAAGAGCTTGCTCTTCAAGAAATGTTTCCAGGATTGCGACCTGAAGGTCTCCTGTTTCACCTTCTGCAGAGGATAGCGAGAGCTTTTATCTTTTATCAACAGAATAGAAGTAAGAGGAATATATATATCCCCGAAATACACAAATGCAGGAGACCCAATAACTTTATTTTGTGGGGACGAGGATAATGATACTAAGGCGCCCTAAATTCAGAGACATTTGCCACTACTTTGCTTCTTTAAAGTAGGCTTTCAAGACTAGGAATGGCATCCTGTTGCTTCCCAATAGAGTAATTATTATGGATTACACTGAATCACGAGTCAACAGATGGGTAAAATGTCGCAGATCCAATGGCCCAGGACTACGAAAGTGTTCATACTCGAGAGGTAGGGTATTTATTTTTATTTTCATTATATTTTACTGTTTGTATTTTATGTTGTATATTTGCTGTACTCCTGGGATTGGTCTCAGGTAAGCCGCCCCGAGTCCCCTTGGGAAGATGGTGGCGGGGTATAAATAAAGTGTTTTGTTATTGTTGTTGTTGTTATTATTATTATTATTATTATTATTATTTTATGAAACACCCGAGTCCCCTTGGGGAGATGGTGGCGGGGGGGGGGGATAAATAAATAATAATAATAATTATTATTATTATTATATGAAACACAACAAGATGAGTCCACAGCAGACATTCTGATGGCTGTTGAATTAAATTGTTGTTATTGTTGTTGTTGTTATTATTATTATTATTGGGTACTATTGGCCAATAATAATGTGAGTAGATCAATTCAGGTGGGAAGGTCCGGCGGGAAGGTAAATGCGCTCCATGCAGTCATACCGGCCACATGACCTTGGAGGTGTCTAGGGACAACGCCGGCGGCTTAGAAATGGAAGTGAGCACCAACCCCCAGAGTCAGACATGACTGGACTTAAGGTCAGGGGAAAACCTTTACCTAACCTACTATTGGCCTCTGGCAGTTTTCCTAACTTGCAAAAGTTGGACACCTTGGGGAAAATATATATTGTTCTCTTACATCGGATAGCTTGGCAAACGCTGTCCTGTGCCACCCCAAAGTTCGCTTTCTCCCAATGCCCATTCCTAAGGCCCGGGCCTCCGTACTTTATTCCGATGGCACAGCAGGTTAAACTTGCTGACCGAAAGGTTGGCTCCTTCGAATCTGGGGAGCGAGGTGAGCTCCCGCTGTTAGCACCAGCTTCTGCCAACCTAGCAGTTTTATTGTTTTGTTTTGCAACTGTAATTATTTTCTGATGTGTATTCTGTATTTTATTTGGTTTTATTGTATTTTTGGGCTTGGCCTCATGTTAGCCGCCCCGAGTCCCCATTGGGGAGATGGTGGCGGGGTATAAATAAAGATGTGATGATGATGATGATGATGATGATGATTATCGCTCTTGCCGGCCTCCTAGAAAGGGAGATGAGCACCGCCTCCTTGAGTCCAACACGACTTCTAACCTCACCACACTGGAGAATGAATCCACTTTAAATCCGGTTGCAGAATTCTGGGGTTTGTAGTTTAGGGAGGAGCCTTGAACAGCCTCACTAAACTACAAACCTCAGGAGGCAGCTTTAAAGTGGATTCATTCTCTAGTGTGTCAAGGGGGAAGCCTTTGAAAGGGTTTCTTTCCTATTTCTTTCCTATTGAAGGGCAAACCAGTTTCCTGTGTTCAGTAAGTTCCCCGTGGATCCTCCTCACCTCGTGGGACAATCCGGATCCTCATCCGGCCTATCCAAAAATGGAGGCTAAGCAGATTCGGCCAACATTCAGAGGCCGGATCCTCATCCTTTTTCTACATCTTTTTCCTGACAGCTGGACAGAGTCACTCAGGGGTCAGTTTATATGGAGGATGAAGTGGAACTGGCTCCCAAGCTACAGGCGCAACAGTTGTTTCTTCAGGCGCCGCCGAGAAGCTGACTGTAAGGCCCCATCTGCACTGATCATTTAATGCAATTCGATGCTAATTTCCAATGGCCGTGGCGGGCAGATGCAAAAGAAAGCCCCTCGTACGCATCAGCTCTTTGTGTCACCCCCCTCCAGCCCTCAAGCTGGTTTCAGAATGTTCTATCTAATCATCTGTGCAAAAAAGCCACTTTACTTCTTTGCACACTGGTTCCATACTGGTTCGAAATGGCATAAAATGGTCAGTGTAGATAGGGCCTAAGTCTCTGAACAAGGGGGTTCTACACTTGCCCACCTCCATCAGACTTTACCAAATTGGAAAAAGGAAAAGAGTTCACGTCCTCCCCCCCCCCCCCCCCCCCCCCCCCCATACACAAACACATAGCTGCTACATCTGAGGGGAAATAGACACCCCCATGACCCCATCTATATTGCCTATATGAGCTGGTGGAGTTGTTGTGTCAGCTCAGGTCCTCCCTCTTTAAAGATTTCAGCAAGGATCCCATCAGGTCCACTGGCTTTGTTATTTTTTGTTGGCAGATGACATTGCTGACTTCTTCCAAACTAGGCAGTGCTGCAAGCTCATCCCTGGTTTGTTGTTGAGGGATTTGTGAGAGAACCTCTTAGGCCACATTGGAGCTGGGGTTCAGGAGGCTTTGGTAGTGTTCTTTTCAACTTAGTGCAATTTAATTTTGGTCCTTCAGGAGTTTGGTTCCATCTGATGAACGTAGAGGCTTAAAAATTTTGGCATAGACACTGAGAACTGGGAAGCCCTGGCCCTTGAGCGCTCCAGCTAGAGGTCAGCTGTGACCAGCAGTGCTGCAGAATTTGAAGAGGCACGAATGGAGGGTGAAAGAGAGAAACCTGCGAAGAGGAAGGTGCCTCAAGCTAACCCTGACCAAAACAGCCTTCCACCTGGAAACCAATGCCCTCACTGTGGGAGAAGATGCAGGTCAAGAATAGGACTCCACAGTCACCTACGGATCCACAAGAATACTGATCCTGGAAGACTATCCTACTCGGCCAAGGAGGGCTCGCCTAAGTAAGTAAGTAAGTATTGCCGTATAGTGCAGTTTGAACTTTTGTTTTGTGTCAGGAGCGACTTGAGAAACTGCAAGTCCGCTAGGATGTTTTGATGCATGGGGAGCTAGAGCTGACAGAGGAAGCTCAACCCGATCTTCCCGGATTTGAACGGCTGACCTATCGGATAGCAGATGGAGCCCCCGGTGGCGCAGTAGGTTAAACCTTTGTGCCGGCAGGACTAAAGACCGACAGCTCGCAGGCTCGAATCCAGGGAGAGCGTGGATGAGCTCCCTCTGTCAGCTCCAGCTCCTCATGCGGGGACATGAGAGAAGTTTCCCACAAGGATGGTAACACATCAAAACATCCAGGCGTCCCCTGGACAACTTCCTTGCAGACGGCCAATTCTCTCACACCAGAAGTGACTTGCAGTTTCCCAAGTCGCTCCTGACACGAAATAAAAATATACTGTATATGGCAGTGCAGATCCAGGCTATATATTCCTTCCTTACAGCTAAAGAGTCCCATCATTTCCGAGGAGAATTCAGTGGGACTGACCTCCAAGTAGCAACAGTTGTCCCTTCCTTCTTCGGTTGCTTGGAAGCTGCAAAGAGCCAGGAGGAGCTGTTTCCAAGTCCCTCGAACGAGGGAACTCATTACACATGCTTATGAGCACTGTCACTTAAACGGCTTTCGCCAGTTCGAGGACTTCAGTTGAAGCAACGCTTCTGTCTAAACTGATAAAGAGATGAGAATCTACTTGACCCTAAACCTGCCACATCTGGGGAGGGAGGGGGGACTAGATCAGGTCTGAGCAAACTTGGGCCCTCTTTCTAGGTGTTTTGGACTTCAACTCCCACCATCCCTAACAGCCTCAAGCCCTTTCCCACCAAGGAATGGTGGGAGTTGAAGTCCAAAACACTCGGAGGGTCGAAGTTGGCCCATGCCTGGACTAGATCTTCCTGCTCTATCTCCCCTTCCTTACAGCAGGAGACTCTCTTTCCTTCCAAGGGGGGAATTCAATGGGAATTCAAAGAACCACCCCCTCGCTCCCTTTCCTTACCTGTTTTGGGCATCTGGGGCTGTAGGGCTGCGGCGTTGGCAGCATTGGCGGCGTTGGGGCTCTGCTCGGAGGCCCATCGCAGGGCCATCTCGACGTTGGCGGGGGTGCGGGTGGGGTGTCCCTCTGCGGGGAGGACCAGGAGGGCTCCTGCTGCTGCGGGGGGCGGCGGCGGGGTGGGGGAGGCCGCGGATACGGAGGCCGCGGCCGCGGATGCGGGGCCCCCCGGAGGCATGGCCCGCAGGGACTCCGGGAGGAGGCTCTCGAGGCTCTCGTTGGCCTGCTGCCTGCGGAGGGCCACCTGGGCGGCCATGACGCGCTGCCGCTCGATGATGAGGATGCACTTCTCGCAGGTGCAGTCCTTGAAGCGGCAGTAGCGCTTGTGGCCCTTGAGCCAGGAGAGCACGCCGTGGTTGCGGCAGCGCGCGCACTTGGGGGTCCGCTGCAAGGGCGCCCGCGAGGGCTGAGAGACCGGGGCCCCCATGTACAGGTAGGGAGAGCCGTAGCCGTTCATGGCCGCAGCCCGAGAGGTGGAGGAGGAGGAGGGAAAAGGGAGCCCACGCCGCCAGGGACGCCCCCGCAGGCGCCTCTGCCACGACTGGCCTGCCCGGACGCCTTCCCCGCCTCTCCCCTCCGACGCTCCTCCTCCTCCTCCTCCTCTTCTCCCTCTCTGCTCCGCTCGCCCCCAAGACTCTCCCGCCCTTTCTCGCTCTGTAGAAATGGGGGGGGGGGGGGGAGAGAGAGAGAGGAGAGAGAGAGAGATCACAGCGAGGGTGGGGGGAGGCGATTGCCCTGCCCCAACTCGCCCCCTCCTTCCACCAAGCTGATGGACTCGCCCATTGCGCCCCCAGCTTAAAAATGCGAAGGGGAGGAGAAGCCATTATGTCAAGGTGGGGGGAGGGTGTGAGTACCCCTTCTGCAGAGTTAGGATTTCCTCCTCGCAGCGCCTGTAGGCAAAGTGGTTTCTTGGTTCGACTCTTTGCCCAAAGGACTACAGGACTTGGTACTCTATCTTTCTATCCAACGAGTGCTGTATGTATATATGTACACATATATACCTGTGACTTACCTACCTACCTATCTAGCCATCTATGTATCCACCTAGCTAGGTGTGTCTGCATAATGTATATCTATCCATCCAGGCCCGTAGCCAGGATTTCGTTTCGGGGGGGGGGGCTGAATTTTTTTCAGGGGGGTTTCGGGGGGGGCTGAGTTTCGGGGGGGTGGGGCTGAGTCTGAGTGAAAGAGGGTCTAGCCTAGCAAACCTTTTGTATCATTACCCCAATACCCCCATGCATATGGGATATATTGAGTATGGTGATCAGATCATGATATGAATAAACATAACAGTTTAAATAATGCACCAGTAAGGCCTTTTCGCGAACCACCAAGAGAATTTCGGGGGGGGGGGGCTGAAGCCCCTCCCCCCCCCCCGCTACATGCCTGTATCCATCCATCCAGTATGCGTGCATAATATATCTATCCATCTATCTATCCACCATCCAGTTAGGTAAGTGTGTGCGTGTGTGCATAATATCTATCTATATACCTACCTACCATCTATCCATCGAGTTAGGTGTGTATGTGTGCATATATATATCCATCTATCTATCATCTATCCACCCATCCAGTTAGGTAAGTGTGTGTGTGCATAATATCTATGTCTCTATCTACCATCCATCCAATTAGGTAAGAGTGTGTGCGCGTGATAACTATCTACCTACCTACCTACCATCTATCCATTCAGTTAGGTAAGTATTTGTGTGCATGCACACCTAATATCTAGCTACCATCTATCATTCCAGTTAGGTAAGAGTGTGTGTGTGTGTGTATAATATCTAGCTACCATCTTTTCATTCCGTTAGAGTGTGTGTGTGTGTGTGTTTGTATATGCATAATATCTACCTACCTACCATCTATCCATCCATCCAGTTGGGTAAGTGTGTGTGTATGTGTATAATATCTACCTACCTACCATCTATCCATCCAGTTAGGTAAGTGTGTGTGTGTGTGCATAATAGCTCCCTACCATCTATTCATTCAGTTAGGTAAGTGTGTGTGTGTTTGTGTATGCGTAATATCTATCTACCTACCTACCAACCATCTATCCACCCAGTTAGATAAGTGTGTGCGCGTGCGTGTGCATATCTAGCTACCATCTATCCATCCAGTTAGGTAAGTGTGTGTGTGTGTGTGTGCACGCGTAATATCTATCTATCTACCTACCTACCTACCAACCATCTAACCATCCAGTTAAGTGTGTGTGTGCATAATAACTCGCTACCATCTATTCATTCAGTTAGGTAAGTGTGTGTGTGTGTGTTTGTGTATGCATAATATCTATCTATCTACATACCTACCATCTATCCATCCAGTTAGGTAAGTGTGTGTGTGTGTAATATCTATCTATCTACCTACCTACCTACCTACCATCTATCCATCCACCTAGTTAGATAAGTGTGTGTGCGTGTGTGTGTGTGTGTGTGCATAATATCTATCTATCTATCTACCATCTATCTATTCATTCATTTAGGTAAGCGTGTGTGTGTGCTTATGTGTCCATAATATCTATCTACCATCTATCCATCCAGTTAGGTAAGTGTGCTTATGTACATAATATCTATCTACCTACCTATCTACCTACCTATCCACCATCTATCCATCCAGTTAGGTAAGTGTGTTTGTGTACATAATATCTATCTATCTATCTATCTATCTATCTATCTATCTATCTATCTATCTATCTATCTATCTATCTATCTATCTATCTATCTATCTATCTATCTATCTATCTATCTATCTATCTATCTATCTATCTATCTATCTATCTATCCACCCATCCGGTTAGGTGTACGTGTATAATATCTGTCAGTCCATCCATCCATCTATAACTGTATTCTCAATTCGCTTTAGACAAGATAAATAAGATCCATCTAGCCAGCTAGGTAAGGGTGTGTGTGCATAATATCTATCTAGCCATCCATCCATCTAGCAGCTATCTGGCTGGAGTAATGGATAGGTGAATAGATGGATGGATGGCTAGACAGACATTATGCACGCACGCCTAACTAGTTAGCTAGATGGATGGATGGATGGCTGTCTAGATAGATAGACACTCCTAACAGAAGTTGACTCTGCAGTGCCAGTCCTGCCACACTCTTACCAGGCGCTTCAGCCAAAACAGAACTCTCCCAGCCCATTGATTGAAGAACACTTGAAATGGTCCTCGTGTGGGGTTTGCCCCGTGTCAGGTCTTTTCTGACGATATTTGTACTTCAGAACAAAGCCTCCTCAACGGGTCTTGCTCCCGGGCTGTCTTGCAAGTGTCCCAGTCTCCTCCTGCACCTGCGGGCTCGCCAAGAAAGGGGGGAAGAGAGGGGGTGCCAAGCCATTGGCTCCAGGTCGCCTAGGACTCGGGGCCTAGGGACTGGATTAGGAGGCCACTCGGGGCAGTTTCCACCCAGCGCGCCCTTCCCTTCTGGTATGTTGCGACTTTGCTGCAAAGCTCGCGGCCCTTTACAAGAGGAGAGGCTGCCCGGTTTGTTCAGCCAAGGCCAATTGCTCTCCAGTGGGATGCTGTGGAATAGTCCTCCTCCCCGGTCTCGCGTGAATTCCGCACTGTGTTTTTTGAGTGCTAGAGAAGAGGAGAAAGCCTTGTGCATTTGGGTTTAATGCCTGTTCCTCTGAGAAAATGAGGCTCTGTAGAAACTGCTTTCTCATTTGATCCCCTTGCTCACAAGAATGGTGATCTTGTACAAATATTTGAATACAAATCACTCCTGCGCTCATGCCTCCAGCACAATACAGTATGGCCTTTGGAAAACTATATTTAAGGAGTTTTTGTTTATTTTTCAACAGGGATATCTTCTAAAACGGTACTATTGCTTTATTCGAGTGAGGGAAAACAAACAAACCAACCTTTCCCTTTAATTAAAGAAAAACTTTGTTTTCTCTTTTTGGTCGTGGTTTTTTAATGGGCTGCTTCGGTTTTACGGGCGTTGCCAATTAGCTTCTGGCATTTCCCGCCAAAATAGGAATGATGTGAGAAAATAGATCTCGTCGCCCCTCATTCCTAAACACCGAGATGAACACACACACACACACACATATATACACACACATACACACCAACAGAGAGAGAGAGGAGAGGAGAGCATGGTTTGGTAGGGCTGATACTTAAGTGGGGTATATTTGGCATCGATCTTTCCAAATACAAGTCGTAGAAATGGTATTTGAGATCACAGATTTAAACTTGATGAGTGGGATAAGCGTCAAGGAAATAAAGGGAAGGAAATGATAAGAGACGAAGGCGAGCTCAACGCCTATTAAATGAAAGGGGGGGAAACTATTTAATTTGTTGTTCCCCTAACTACATAATATTAGTTGTTGTTAATTAATAAATATAATAGCAATAACTACTACAACAATAATAAAACTTTATTTCTAGCCCTACCTATGTCCCCAAAAGGAGATAAATTGCTATCTAACTGACATCGACTTACGACGACCCTATGATTAAGGCTGATTCTACACCCGCCATATAGTACAGATTGAACTGCATTATATGCTCAGTGTAAAACCACATAAGGTAGTTTGAACTCAGTTGAAGTGCATTGTATGGTTCTACACAACAAGAATGTAATTTAAATTGCACCAAAGTGCATTATATTGTTCTACACAACAATAATGTAGTTTGAGCTGCGTTGAAGTCCATTGTATGGTTCTACACAACACTAACGTAGTTTGAATTGCATTGAAGTGCATTATATGGTTCTAAGTAAAGTAAAGGTACGAAGAGCCGCGTTGTCCGTAGACACCTCCAAGGTCGTGTGACCGGCATGACTTCATAGAACACCGTTATCTTCTCGCCGGAGCGGTACCTATTGATCTATTCACATTTGCACGTTTTTGAACTGCTAGGTTGGCAGAAGCGGGAGCTCACGCCACTCTCCGGATTCGGTGAGCAATTTTAGCAGCTCAGCGGTTTAACCCACTTCGCCACCAAGGTCTCCTACACAACACTAATAGTTCTACACAACACCTAATGTAGTTTGAACTGTATTGTAGTACATTATATGGCAGTGTAGATCCAGCCTAAGTCATTCTGCTCAGGTCTTGCAAAGCCAGTTCCATGACTTCTGCGTTTGAGTCTAGATTGAATGGCTTAGCAGTTTCAAGATCTAGCTTCTTACTGCACAGTATGACCCATGTTCCAGGTATATCCTCTCCTGACGTTTTGCCTGCATCTCTGGCAGGCATCCTCAGAGGTTGTGAGGTCATTTGAATTGCATTGAAGTCCATTGTATGGTTCTGCACAACAATAATGTAGTTTGAATTGCATTGATATGCATTATATGTTCTATAATGCAGTTCATTGAGTCTAGCAATAATAACATGTCCATGATTGATGTAACTTCTTGAAAATATTAGACAACGACAGCGTCAATGTTATGTTGTTGTTTTTTCCTCGTGTCAGGAGCGACTTGAGAAACTGCAAATTGCCTCTGGTGTGAG